GTGTTTTCACAGTTTCCCCACATAACATCTGTACTTAAGAAGCCTCACTGCTATTGGTAAAGTATTAACTTGATTTCTCGGTTCACATCCAGGGCGCTGCATGGTACTGCCCTGCTCTCCCCAGATTCCCTGCCAGGCGCTCCCCTATAGGCCTCTCCATCTTCCATGAGTATGAGCTTACACAGCCATTCATCTCCAGGTGGTTATGTTCACCATCACTGACAACTCCCTCCACATCTCATATACACCAGGCTGCTCCCCTACTAAAATTTTCCAAAGCCACGTGTTACACATTTCTTTTCTCTGCCATGCTCTCAGCTGTTTTGTGCTGTTTTGATCTCTCTGTTTGCATAGCGCTGTCAGACTATATGCATGAAAGGTGTGTCGTTGACATGAATGGTTTTGAAAATGTTTCTGTAAAGAGCCTACCTCGGTTATCAGGGCAGAGAAGGAAGCTTGAAGCCCCGTAGGTGGGGGTCAGGGACTCCTACTTGAATATTTGCCAGAATGGGACTTGTGCACATTGACAAAGAAAAGAAGCCCATTAAAATGTGATCATGATCTCTACCAATATAAAGGATATGGGAGTCTCTGCTGAAAAAAAGAAATAATAATAGGCAGTAGCGACATATAAAGAGGTGAGAGCCTACCGTAGAACAAAGGGCTTAAAATTGTATGTTAAAAAAGAGATACTTCCAAGCAACACTCAGATAAATAGAATTATTAGCTTACTCTTGGTCACCAAGTGTTAATCATCAAGAGACCCAACCAGAACTGGCACATTGGAGAAGGGCATTTGGCTGTCCCACTCACAGCTATCTGGAGTGGATGGAATCCACTGTCCTTCACATTGCCCCTCAAGTTGGCCTGATCTTAGGCTCTTAGTTAAAGGATAATTTAGGACTTAAGATAAGAAAACCCAAGGCCCACAGCTCGTTGGCTGAATGGTGGTGAAGTAGATGGGACCAGAAAAGGGAAGACAAACTAAAAAGACAGAAAGCACTTCCGTGATAGGAAAGAACTTAGAAAATTCATTCCTACCAACAAATTTTTGATATTGATTATCTACCCTTTTTCAATCACTTCTTCAAAGTATGAACTTGGTATTTCCAATTGGAAAGGCAGTTTAGCTTCTCGCTGCTTCTCTATCTTTTCCCACCAAGTTTGCTATATTTGACGGTAGATATTATAAAGACAGGCCTTGAGAACACATGTGGCATTTGCTGTTTAAAGTCTAGCTTGGGCCAAAATATGTGGGTAAGATGCACTTTTTAGATTCCTTTCTTTATTCCTCCAACAAAGATTGGTCCCCACTTTGCATGCATTCCTTATGTTATCCAAGTATCTTTGCCAATCTTTCACATGCTATCTTTGGCCAGTGTTCTCCTTGAAAAATAGCTGAAAAAATATGCTTTTTTGCTTATTTAATATCTGAAGAAAAGCTGATACAACTGAAGTTAGCTTTATCAGCTCAAGCATTTTTGGGTGACCACCCCTCCATGAAACTGGAGATTCTCAATTGTTTCAACATAGAGATTTACTTTGGATTGTTTTTTACTTAACTAATCAAAACGTTATTTCATGGGCATTATTTGATGTGTCAGTACCCTAGTGAAACTTTTATACTGATATTTTCCCTTTAGGAACAGGAAATCACATTTTTCTCCAAAAAATAAACATTCGTAGGCAAGCAGCTGAGACCATACACTCACAAGTCCTTTGTAATCCTGGCTTACTTTAAGAAAGCCACTTAGCCCAGTCCAAAAAATCCAAACCTCTTCCTACCCCTTCTCAGTATTCAAGTCCTGGAGTTTAGAGTTTGGCTGCCCTGCGCTTTGCCTCTGCATTCTCAAATTTGTGTGCATTCTACTCCAAATAGCTGTAAGACTCCATTTAAATTCTCGCAGATTCTTTTTACAGCTGAAATAGGAACCCTGAGGTCATTTCTAGGCTAACGCTGCTGCCTAATACGTGAGAATGTCCTCATCACACCTCCCCTTCCCCAATTATTTTTAAACTCAGCTCTTCAAAGTGAGAAAATGTAACAGAGCCACAGACGTAGAAGTGCTAGAACTTGCCTTTTTCTCTTTATCCTTCATAGGAATGGCATTTTTAAACATGAGCTTGTGTCAGACATTGAACAGTCTCCACTCGGGAATGAATGTTTTGATTAAAAGTTATTTAATATCTCTAGTTCCTTGGAATTCTGCCTAAAGCTGGAGATATTCTTAGCTGCAGGTCTTGTGCCTTCTTTGACTAGACAGAAAAATGGCTCAAAATCTGGAGGATATAAATGGCATTCTCAAAATAGTTACTTGATTGCATAGGTGTTTATATCAGAGGATACTGATGTGTTGAGAATTAGGAATCGGTAAAGAATATTGGCATAAGGAAGAATATGCCAAAGCAGCATCTTTCTATAGCCCTCTCACTATGTCCATTGATTCTCAGCCTTCTGGTTAAAATCAGGTTTAGGGTGCTACATTCATACAGCAGGCCAAAAGAATAGCGTTCTGTATAATGTACACATGATGTTTTCTTAACTTGCACTTATATTTAGGTCAACAAGGGTTAAAACAGAGACATTTAAGCAAATATATTTTTCAACTGCTTTCAATGTAAAATAATGGGGACAAATTCTCATAGCACTTATATGTGCATTAAAAAAGGAAGCAAAGAATAGCTTATTCCAAGGATACAAATAGAATTTCGACTCAGTAAGTTATTTTAGCTTCAGAGTTAGAGTTGCTCTGACTACAGCCTCCTCTCTTTAACTGTCATCTTTTTGAGGCAAAATATTTACAGAGCATTGAGTTATTTTTCTAGCTTCCCAACAACATTTCATGCATTGAGATATTGATGCGACATAGTTAGAAGTTGGGCCCTCCGGATCTGTATTGTGAAATGGCATTGTGCTACTATCATCAGGAGATTCTATTTTTTTCCAACCCCCAAGGTACTGTCTGTACTTGTTTACAGGTCATCTGGATAGTAACTAGTATGTGTTCAGTGGCATGAGTTTTATCACGGTAACCTTGGCAACCAAGCTAGCTCTGATTTCAAAACCTCAATGCTGTATCATAAAATTAGATAACGGTATTGACATTTAGCTACATATCTGTCATATAAATTAAGCTCTGAGAATGATTTCTTTTATAGCGATGGAATATGGAAATAGAAGGCACCAACTAGAACAATTTTATGCATATACATACCATTCCACATTTAGATGATGGATACATTTCCTCAGTTCTTTCTCTACAATATTGAACCTCAAATTATTGCCATATTATTCTCACTGTGCCAAAATTTATGGTGGCTTTATTTTATGATCAGGATGAAGCTTATAGCAGAGCTGCATCAGAGATCCTGTATAAATAGGACTATGAATAATAGAAAACTCAGTTTCTAAAAAATGTAAAATTCAAACCATTCTTAGCTTTGTTGGGTATTGTTATTTATGCTGATTAGAAGTAAGCCTGTGCACAGAATATTCCACTAACTAAATCAGGATCCTAAAGATAAGACATGTTTCCCTTTCATTTATATATTTATGCATACTTTTACACATATTATATTTTCCAATGTCCAAGAGTCTTTGATAGTATCTTTATTTCGAGGACATTCTAAACGTGCAGATTAATATATTCATCTACTTTGAGTCCTAGGTCCTCTTTTATAATTTGTAAATATTTTAATCTTAGGATTTTTCCTCTATTTGCTGTGGTCTAGTGCAGTTTTTCTTGGGAATAAATTTAAAGATTCAACTTGTGAATTACATTTAATGTAAGCACCCTGCAGTTTTCTGCATTGCAAATGATTATTTTTAGAAATTTTATGGTTGCCTGGATATATTTGTTTGTCTTCATTGATATGTAGGAGGAAAAGCTCATTAATGATTTAAAAAGAAGGTGTTTTGATTCATTGACTTGATTCTTCTTGTTACATAAACAATAAAGGCAATAAATTAACATCTCATAAAATTGTAGGAGTTTATTTCTGAATTTAGCTGCAAGCTAATCTTGAATCCTTGGCATAACTTTTCCTATTCTTTGTATTTTTCTGCCTCAGTGTTTTCAAAGTCATCATTCAGCGTATTTTAACCTAGAATGATGGTTTATAATTCTTATTAAAGATACCTTTTAGCAGCTATCTGTCAAACACCATAATGAACAAGTGTTTTGTAAAACAGTTCTTTGGCTTCTAGAATTGTAAATTATTATGGAAAAATAGAAGATCCTTATGTCAAAATTAAGTACAAAGCAATTTTTCTTTTCCTCATATAGCTGCTACGTGTCATATATAACATTTGAGACATCTCTTTCCAACATTTTCTCATTTTATTAGCCATCCTTCTATTAGCGTCCTTGCTAGTTTTATGTTAAATACTACCTTCTTGCCTGGTAGAGTCAAAATTCCTGCAAATTCAGGATTTTTTCTTTTCAGAAACAGATCGGTGGTTGTGCTCTCTACATGTGTGCTTAAGTGGGAAGAAGGGCAAAAATCCTTCTGTGTATTTGCCAGCCCTGCACAGCAAATACCTGTCACATTTTCAGTAATGTTAAAACTGGTTGCTTTGTCTCATCGGGTTGAGTCATCATCACCTTTATGTTTAGACTGGTAAACGGTAGTTTTTATTATTTTCTTTTATCTTGAAACTATTTCTTGTGATGAACAGAAATAGTTCAGCATGCTGTGGTTTCAGGACTGAGTCAAGTTTGGGTAACCATCTCTACTATAAAATAACTTCACTGGAAACTTTTCAACTCGTAAGCATTCTGCAGTGTGATATGGAAATGAACTCAGGCTGTGTTGGTGCTGGAATGTAGGGGCTTATCAGGCTGTTTGCATGACTCCAAGATATATTTTAATATCTAGTCTTTTTTTTTTAATTGTGACATGATAATTGGCATTAAATGGATGGGGGCAGGGAGGAACCCTAATGATAAAAGAAAAAAAATTTGAAAGGCAATATGGCTTGTTTTGTGATTTCCTTTTAGGTCTGATGTTGTGGTCCTCTGTTTTTCCATCGCTAATCCCAATTCCCTAAATCATGTGAAAACCATGTGGTATCAAGAAATCAAGCACTTTTGCCCTCGCACACCTGTTGTCCTAGTTGGCTGCCAGCTAGATCTCCGCTATGCTGATCTTGAAGCTGTTAATCGAGCCAGACGCCCTTTAGCGAGGTAAGCCAAGGGACTCCGTGTTTCGCTGTGCTGGCCAAATTATAATTTAGAGGCAGCAAATGACTCTGTAGCCTAGGGTTCTGTTCTTCAGTGGTTCTGGGACCCCACCAATCAGCCACACACTTTAAGTTAGCTTGTTAATCATGAGGGGGGGTGTATCCTGACCCTTCTCATGCTCCACGGCTCCCCTTGGGTAGGAACCCAGTGTTGTAAAACCGTTGGCCAGTGCTTGAAGTGAATTCTCTAAGTGTGACATGGTATGTATGAAAGCGCTTCAGAGTTTGTACAGTATTAATCGAAATGTTAGCTACTCATAATAATGTCATTCTTGAAAGTATGATTATTGGAATAAAGTCAGCTAACATTCAGGGTGATCAGCCGCAATTCTTGGCCCCAGGAATATCAATTTCGTACAAATATGCATATCTAAGTGTTTTTAATCTTCTCGTTTTCCTCAATTCAACCTCTAAGAGTGTTTCACTCCCAAGATGACAGTGTCTAGCTTTTAAAAATCATATGGACCCATAGTTGCAAAACCACAACACTGGCTTTTAAATGTCTCTAGTGGTTATATTTTTTAAAGTGTCACAATTTTAAAAATCAGTTTGAAGAAGGATTTATTTCACACTCTATAAAATGTAGATACCAATTTGGGGGGGAAATAAGAGTCTTTAAAAGCCTGTACTCCCTTAATATTCCCTTTATAAAAAATATTTTTATATATGTTTTATGTTTAACTACATTTTTTGCTGGGGAACATCTAGCTTTTCCAAAAATGTTGATATTAATACCTTCTTTTGATATTTACCTAATAGGACTTGATACAAAATTTTATATGGACACAACTTATGCTCTCACAGTAGAAGCAAATGGTACTTTGCTTAAACAATTTTTGATGTTCTAGGCACAATTTGGATAAATTTTCTGAAAACTCTTCATGTTCAGTTTTCACAATTCTTTTATTCTTAAATGCATGGACTGGGAATTGAATATTTGAAGCCAGGTAGAAGGAAAGAGGACTTACGGTAAAAGACAGACTACCCCTGACATCTAGAATTTTCTGTATAAAAGAATAGGTTAAGGTAATCGGACCTCAGAATCATGGACATGTGGAGGACTAGAAAAGAGTTCTAGAGCTCTAGAGGACAGTGGAGGGGATGGTCCCTTCTATAGAGCAGTTCTGGTGGTATTTGAGCTAAGCCTTGAGGAGTTTCATCAGTTAATGATTTTCAAGTCAGTCCCAGGAACAAGGAGCATGAATTGCCCACAGGAGCAACCCCTGAAATTAAACTTTCTTCCTCGCACTTCCCTTCCACCTTTGCAACACCCTACAATTTTTCTTCTTTTCAATCCAGGTCCTCAAATCCAAATTCTACCCAGTATTATCTTATTTCTCCTAAGACTGGCACCTGTCACACACATTACCTTTGGTCAGATATTTACTTAGGAGGATCAGTTCCTAAGAGTGGGTCTCAGAATCAAGTATGTGTTTGTGAAGAGTGTAGGCACAAATCATGTCTTGCCTATATTCTGGAAACTGTGTCTCTACCATGGTTATGCAATAATCACAGCATTATTTATTCTTACACTGCTTCCAAAGGTTTGGCCTCCCTGGGTTTTATTAGACTGTAAATGGGCCTTGTGTGTCAGCCTAAACGGTGTAGACTTTATTCCATGGGCTTTGTGAAACCACAGGAAATTTTTTAAAAGAATTACGGCTAAGTCATACTTGTGTTATGTAAGGATTTTTCTTGCAGCAATGAGAACTATGGGCTAAAATGTGGCAGAGTCTGAAGAAAGACTAGTTAAGAGGCTAATGCACCAGTCCAAGCAAAAGATGATGAGGGCCTGACTGAAGAGAGTACAAGAAAAGAGAAGGGGAAAATATGAAAGCAGATTCACAAATCTAATAGCGGGGACTTAACGAGCTGTTGGATGTGGACTGTTTAACTAGGAGTGGGAAGTTCTAGACTAATTACTTAGGAGAGGGCTCTCAGCAACTTACAAATGTGACCTTAGGCAAATCCTTTAAACTCTCTGCCTCAGTTTCTTCAGAATGAACAATGAAAATAATACCCACAGGGTTATTATGAGGTTCAAATGAGAAAATGCATATGGATTCATTTTAAAGTGATAAAGCAAAATTTAAGCATAAGGTGATGATGATGAAGATGAAGATGATGATGGTGGCAATACTGATGATAACAGCTAACATTTATCAAGCACATCCCTTGGACCACATACTATGCTAAGCATGTTGTCTCGTTTAAACCTCTTAATAGTCCTTTAAGATGTAGGTACTCACTATTATTATTCCTTTTTTTTTTTTTTTTTAAGATTTTATTATTTGCTTTTTCTCCCCAAAGCCCCCCGGTACATAGTTGTATATTCTTCGTTGTGGGTTCTTCTAGTTGTGGTATGTGGGACGCTGCCTCAGCGTGGTCCGATGAGCAGTGCCATGTCCGCGCCCAGGATTCAAACCAACGAAACACTGGGCCACCTGCAGCGGAGCGCGCGAACTTAACCACTCGGCCACGGGGCCAGCCCCTATTATTATTCCTATTTTACAGGTGGGAAAACTGAGGCTTATAGAGGTTAGGTAACTTGCCCAGGATCCAATCGCTTGTAAATGGCTAATACTTCAGTTACTGTGGTTACTACTGAAAGCATTTTTTCTTTTGCAGTCATAAGTCCTTTATACTTGAAACACTTGAAGTTGGTAGTAGCTTTTTCAAGAGCCTCGTGAAAAGCCTGAATAGGATTTTAAATGTATAATTCAGTGAGATGCTTAGATAGGCCCTGGTTACTATTTTTTTTTCCTAAAATAAGGCTGATTATAATTCTTTAAATATTGTATTTCAGGCCCATAAAGAGAGGGGATATCCTGCCCCCAGAGAAAGGCCGAGAGGTGGCAAAGGAACTTGGTATACCGTACTATGAAACGAGCGTGTTTGACCAGTTTGGGATCAAGGATGTGTTTGACAACGCAATCCGAGCCGCGCTCATTGCCCGCCGGCACCTGCAGTTCTGGAAATCCCACTTAAAGAAAGTTCAGAAACCTTTACTGCAGGCACCATTCCTACCTCCAAAAGCCCCTCCACCGGTCATCAGAGTTCCAGAATGTCCATCCACGGGGACGAACGAAGCTGCCTGTTTACTGGACAGTCCTCTGTGTGCCGATGTCCTGTTCATCCTTCAGGACCAGGAGCACATCTTTGCACACCGAATTTACCTCGCTACCTCCTCTTCCAAGTTTTATGATCTTTTTTTAATGGAATGTGAAGAAACACCAAATGGGAGCAAAGGAGCTTGTGAGAAAGAGAAGCAGAGCAGGGATTTTGAGGGGCAGGCATTGAGTGTTGACCCAGATGAGGAGAGGGAGGAGGGCACCCCAAGGACACCTCAGGCCAATCAGTGGAAGTCCTCGAGCCAGAACCTGTTCCAACAGGAGACTCTGGGGCTGGAAGCCGAGGGCTCGATCCCAGAGACGCAGACTTTGTCAGGCTGGAGTAAAGGGTTTGTTGGAATGCACAAGGAAATGCAAGTCAATCCCATTTCAAAGCGGGTGGGCCCCATGACTGTGGTCAGGATGGACTCGTCGGTTCAGCCAGGCCCTTTCCGGACCCTGCTCCAGTTTCTGTATACGGGGCAACTGGATGAAAAGGAAAAGGATTTGGTGGGCCTGGCTCAGATTGCAGAGGTCCTGGAGATGTTTGATTTGAGGATGATGGTGGAAAACATCATGAACAAGGAAGCCTTCATGAACCAGGAGATCACGAAAGCGTTTCACGTCAGGAAGGCCAATCGGATAAAAGAGTGTCTCAGCAAGGGGACATTTTCAGGTGAGCAGGTCCTGTGGCTTTTGTTGCGTTTTATCAAACATTAGCCAAAGATGAGCAGGGGAAAGGATAGCTGTCACTAGCATGGATAAGTGCTGATGTTTTCCCATGTACCTAAGTTACATGTTTTCACTTATTTAACTCCCATCAGACTTAAGGGTTAAATCTTATCGTCTCCATTTTGCAGCTGGGGAAACTGAGGGACAGAGAGGTTAGATAACTTGCCCATGGTTACACAGGCCATAAATGGTAGAGCCAGGATTTGAACTCAAGCTGCCCTCTAAACTGCCATGGTATCATGATGCTTCTCAGGGGTGGGTCAAGTTACCCCTGAGTGTCAGCCATGTGGGTTGGTACTTACAATTCCCCAACAGGATCCCTTCCCTGATCAAATCTATTTTCCACTGACACTTTGGCAGTTACCCAAAAATCAGTGACCTCTGGTCCTGAGGCCACTGAAATCCTTGAGACAATTTTGGTGACCTTCTGCATTCCCATCAGGGGTGCTTCTTTCTATCCCTTTGCCTTTTCTGTTCTCACACTCCTTTACCCTGATCTATATTTTTCTGGTTCCTTCTTTGTCTTTGATAACTATGCCATATGCCTCCCACAGCATCCTTACATAATTGCTTAAGCACAATGATGGCCTGTATCCAAGATAGGTTACTGGCCTATGCTTGTACTGTCTTCCACGCTTGTACTGTCTTTGTTCTATAATTGTCCTCTGTGTGTGTGTGTTGTGTACATGAGTTTCATTGTAAAAATTTTACTTCCTGATTTCTATTTATATGGATACTTCTATTTTTGTTTTTCTCTTTCATAATGCCTGTCATGGTAATATACATTTAATAAGTGGTGACTGAATTGTTCATTAACTTTAAAGCTTATGAGTAATATTTACTCCAGACATTGACCACTGTGGTACAGAAGCACTCTTGAAAGTTAATGAAAAGAAATGTTATAAACCTGCAGTAAATTAAACAGTGGCCCTTAAGTGAAGTTGATGAACTCGCCCCCTCCTTACTGCAGAGGCATGACGACCAAATACGATGTGGGAGTCTCAATCGAATGCTCTTAAAAAGAAAAAAAGTTACAAAATACAATTTAGGGGTAATTGGAAAAATTTGAATCTGAACTACATAATGAATGGTATTAGGGAATTATTGCTAATTTTCTTAGGAGAAGTAATGGTATGGTTATCTAGGAGAATGTTCCTGTTTTTAGAAAACTCTTGATAACATAGTTAGGAGTGAAGTATCTTGCTAGCTGTTAAAAAAAATTCCTACACACATATAAAAAATATATGTAAATATACATATAACTAAATCAAACATGACAAAATGTTAACAATGTGATAAATAAGTTGTCACTGTAAAATTCTTTCCACTGTGTTCTGTATGTTTGAAATTTTTCATAATAAGGAGGAAAAAGTTTTCCTCTCCTTTGTGTTACTTTATGGTTCAGAGAATTTGTGTTGTGACCTTATGTGTAATTTTAAATGCTTACTCCTTAATCCCTGGAGAACATCAAGGGAATTGGGTATGTCAAAGGTGGGGGTTGACACAAAATCAGTAAGTACAGATCTGGAAGAGAGAGTACGAGAGACGCAGGTTGGTACATATGGGTGGAACTCTCGGCGAGGCTGGCTCACGCTTGTGCTTCCTCAATGCTTGGACAGATGTGACATTTAAGTTGGATGATGGAGCCATCAGTGCCCACAAACCGCTGCTGATCTGTAGCTGCAAGTGGATGGCTGCCATGTTCGGGGGGTCATTTGTGGAAAGCGCCAACAGCGAGGTATGTCCCTTCTCAAAAGCCTAAGTGGTATCTTTATGAATGTGCATGTGTATTTATATAAAGTGTTTAATTCACCAGCTGCCTTTGGTTCTTTTACTGCTTCCATGGAATAGTTCCTTAGGCCGTGCTTGGGTGTCAGGTCACCCTCTTCTTAATTCTGCAGTTACGAGGAGCGGTTGTCTACCGTTGACTGGCTACACGCGTGAACTCCTAAGTGCTTTACATGTAGTGTATCCTTTCATTCTCACAGCTCTCCTTATCCCTGAAAACACGATCAGCTTTTCTTTTTAACAAATGTCACCAGGCAAGATACCATCAAAGTCACATACGAGAGGGGCAGAGCTTATCCTCTAGAGGTTCAAGACAGTGAAAAGTTTCTTCAGTCGCTTACGTTGTGGGCTCAGCCGAGCCCCTAACCAGATGAGGGATCATAAGAAGCCACCTTCTTGTGCCTCAGTTTCCTCATCTGCAAAATGAAAGATGCACTAGGTTGCCCTTGAGGTGTCCTTGAGCTACAACACTCCCTGAGGCTCTGCGCTGACTTACCTTCGCTGAGAGTTCGTTAATGGTAGGGAAACAGTAATGGAGCACATAAACACACCTCTCTAAGTGCTTAGGTCTGGGGAGGTGGCTGGGTTACTTGTCAGATGCTGGGCCTATCTCCAGGAGAAGGATATTCTTAGAGCAGAGCTAGCACTATCTCGGAGACCCTATATCTTCATCTTTTTACAAACTCTGTTGGAAAAGAAAGAAAAATTTCATTCAATCACTTCTCACTTTAGCCTAGAGGTGTGCAAGCATTTTTGTTGAGTTGTGCAAGTGTTTTTTAACCATTTTTTTAAAAAAACATGGGGACACCCCATCAAGTTTATTGTCCTAAGAGGCTTGTTTTGCTTATGTCAGCATCTCTCCAAACTTTTAAAAGAAATACAGAAAACAATGGCTAACTTTTCGAAAGGGGCACTCACACCAGAAATCTGAGCACTCCCGTTGGACTCAGGAGCCTGTATTTGCATCCCTAAGTAGGGAAACAGAATCCTAGAATCACAAGCCGGGATGGCTGGAGCTGAGGAGGTCACTAGTCCACCCTCCTGCTTCCAGAACAAACTGCAGCTGCTCTTAAACCCACCCCCAGCAAAAGGCCATCTCCTGTTTGGGGAAACGATGTCAGAATTATCCTGATGACCTCTTCTGGAGTCTACCAGCCTTTATAAATCAGGAGGTCCTCACCTATAACTAAATATGTTTCAGAGCATTGTTACTGAGGTATTGAGGCTACTGCAACTAGTGGAGGCCACCCAGTGATGGGCTGTGGGGCTCTAATCCCAGCCCCTCTGCGTACAAGCCATGTGGCCTTGGGAAAGTGACCACCTTTCTGAGTTCCAGTCTCCCCATCTTGAAAACACCATAGTAACTCATAGTATGGTTGTGAGGTATGAGAGTCAATACTTGCAAAGCACCTCCTAAGCATTAAATAAATGGTAGCTGCCATTAGTCTTATTTTGATGTCAGTAGTGTTGGTGATATTCTTTCCCTCTTACTTCCAAGAAAATTTGGGGAAGCCACCTGTTAATAAAACTTCATCCAAATGGCATTTCACCAACTTCACTAATCTCCGGAGATAAAAGAGCCGGCAGGCTTGCTTCCCTTATTTTTCCGGCTCACTGAAGTGTGTGCTCATTGTGCTGCAGGGTGCCTGCTATTAACCCAGCAGAGAGAAGTTGATCAAGTGATCAAGGCCAGGAACCCAGGCACAAAGGGACACTGTCAGAGCTGACCTCACAAATGCTAATCCCCTTTATCCCTTCCCAGAATGGACTGTAATCATCTCCAGATTAAAATGTGCAGGAGAGGTGACCAAAACAAAAACTTGGCAGCAAATGTGAAAGCACACATACATGGTTGTTTTATAGCCTGTCCTGGAGGTGGCTGCCTGGTAGCACTCCCCTCTAGAAAGACAAGGTCACTTGCCATTTAGAACTGCAGCTGAGGCTAATAGGTATGTATAGATTCAACCCAGCTCAAACGCCAAAGACCATGGAACCAAGCAACCAAAGGTCTGTGCCAAGATTCCTTTAGCCAATATATGAAGAATGCCATGAGCTGTTGACATTTCTGCCCTTTCCTGCCCCTTCTCTTTATTTCCAGTATATTCCAGTATATTCCAGGCTATAATAGTTATGTAGTCATGATCTCTAGCCTCAGCTTGACCTTGGGCAAGCAGCTGACCCTCTCTAAACCTGTGTCTTCTTCTATAAAATGGGAATAACAAGAGAACCTTCTTCAAAGGACAGGTAAGGCATGAGAGTATATGTGTAAAGCTGTGAATTTGGTCCCTGGAGCACACAAATGGTCAAGAATTGTTAGTGACTGTGATCCTGGAGATTCCTGCTCAGCTCTTTCCGTGAGGAGCTAAAGATCTTTGTTCTCCAAATGCCCTAAGTTGAAACCCCCAGTTCCCTTCCTAAGCTAGCAAAGTGTGGTAGACGTGGTCCTAGGGGAGGGAAGAGCACTCGGTGAGTCTCAACAGATGCTCCATGATTGATTTAGGCCCATATTCACACTTGGGATTTGTCCTTTCAAGGGCACCTTTTAATTCTTTATGGTCTTGTGAAAACCTGACTTCCCCCACAGAATTCAGCTGATTTTTTTTGCATTAATAGAATTCACATGCATGTCCAGAAAGGAATAAAACATGCCCATTGATGTTACTTTAACTTTTTTTGTCATGTAATATTTAAGAAGACACTGTATTTTACTGATATTTTTCTCATTACTTTTAATGTACCAGTAAGCATAATTCTCGCCCCAGAGGTACTCAGCAAGTGGTTCATTAAAAATGCATGCCCGGGTTGTAGTAAGCAATGCTCTAGATCTGGAATACTTTCTCATTCTCTATGAGACCGTCTCTAATTATAAGCCTAATAGTCTGAGCTGATCTTCGCAATTAAAATTTTAAGCCAACTAAACTAGAATATGGGACGCTGTTTAGGTGAGCGCTGCATTCTCTGTCATTACCCTTTTTTTTCCCTCAAGCTACATTCGGCAAGTAGGATACAATACTTGTAATTTTATTTCTTATGTAGCTTTATGTATATTATTTTTTTAAAGTTCTATAAAATGGTTTCTCCATTATTATATAGTTAATTATAAATGTTGAAGTCACAGAAATAGGCTTTAGAACAAAATCAACCCTGGGGAAAAAAATGCATATTCTGAAAGCGTTCTTAGTTTATTCTCATTTGCTGCTTACTTCTAAGGGTCTCTAACATTATTTGCCAGAAAAAGCCATTGCTTCAGAAAAATGTTAGCATCATATCAATGAAGAAGGAAACAGCAGGTCACAGATGACTATGAATGTCAGAACACTCCAAAGATATTGGAAATATCGAGGCAGGGCTACTCACTGGAATCTGTCATCTCCTGCTGCCAGAAATAATTTCTTTTTATTTATGATGTCCGTTTTGCCATGACTTAGAACACATTCTTACTAAAATTGCTAAGGTAATCTGAATATCTTCAAAATCCAGAATCTCAGTGAAGAAGAAAAAGCTTTAGATATCATCTATTCCAAATTCCCCCCACATAACAGGTGAGGAAACCGAGGGCGAGAGAGGGTGAATGATTTGTCAAAGATCACACAGCATTTTAGTGACGTATGCCTGGGCCTGCCCCAGCCTCTTGCTCTGTCCTCCAAGCCATTATTTTCAGAAACAGCCGACATTCCCATCCCTGAGCGAGCAGCTGTTCACAGGAAGCTCTGGGACTTTTCATACCTCCAATCACTAACACTTTATAGCACTTGGCTCTTTGTAAAATGTATATACTTTCACTATCAAAATGTTGCAAATTTTAAAGTTTCACAACCTAATTAACCTTCAATTATCTAGAAAATTGTACTAATCCAAACACCATTCTGGAGAAATAAAATTTTGCCATGTGTTCATACACACAGAAACAAGTTTATCTGGGTACCACAAATAAATTGACATCTGCATAGGATAAGTACATGTGTACATAAACACATATAGGTGTAAGCATGCACAAGTATAACTGGTGTTAGACTTACTGGAGTAGCAATTAATTACAACAGCTTCTTTATTTAAAAATAATATAGGTAATCGTTTCTACTTGCCAAGTTCTATCTGTTGTAGAGGTTGAGCTAGAAACTTGAAATGATCGCGCTTGTCAAATCATTGATGTCATAACCCATGCAGCTTGTTTACGGAAGCATAATTGTTTTCATTGACTATGTCTTAAAAGGCAGATAATTTTCTTAATATTTCCAGGAATTTTTCTGGGCCTTCCCTTTGGTACCTTAAGGGAAAGCTCTAACTGTCTGAAAGGATATTCCATCTCTGAGGTGGCTGGTAGCTGTGCAGAAGAATGATATGGAAGGTTGCTATAGTTTCAACAATTCTGGGGCCACACCATTAGAATGCATTGGCCATGAACCCCGTGTAGATTGTGGAGGTAATGTAGAGAGAGAGTGAGAGATTAGATATATAATATAGATGTAATCACATGTAACATATATATATAATATAGATGTAATCATATATAATACAGATGTAATCATACATAATATATAGATGTAATCACATATGGTATATAGATGTATATCTTTATATGCTGTATAGAGGTTTCTTAAGTACCAGCATTAACAAGTTTATAACTGTTCATCCTTTGAACTTAGAACTCTAATTCTTAAAAACTACAAGTAAAATATGGTGCTTTGTTGTGCTGTAACCCAAACCTTTGTTTCTTTGCCGTGAAGGGTTTCTAGTACTGCACAGCGGTTCTGAACAAAAACTTTAGAATGATACTCCCTCGGTTCAAATCCTGGTCACTACTTCCTAGTTCTGTGACCTTGGACACAGGACTTAACCTCCCTGAACCTTGATTTCCTCATCTGTAAAATGGCAAAAATAATAGTCTCTTCCTCCTAGAGCAGATATAAGGATCAAAACAGATAATGCATGTGGAAATACAGTGCCTTGTGCATAGGAGGCCTTCACTTAAGGTTAATTCTTATTGTCATCATCATCATTCCAATAATAAGCACCAGTGGCACTGTTCTGTACTACACCAGGCCACATCTCATGGAGTTAGTTAGAGACTTAAAATGAAGAGTAGCTGCTATACCGCGTACATCTCCATTGATCTATGCCCAGCCATCCAGAACTCCACTTCTCAGGCAGTCCCGGGCACTCTAGCAAACTCTAGCATGTATTTATATGGGCAGCAACTAGACAGGTACTCAGGAGAGAGGTACGGGGAATCCTACAGGGGAGAGTTCACCATAACCAACCAGCTATTCCCCCAGATGTCCCAGGCAAGGATTTCTCTGGATTCTCTGAATCTACTGATACCTGGTAATGTTCCAGTAGTTCTGAATCTATGTGGGTGCCATAGGAAAAATAACAAAGTATGCATATCATGCTAGTATACGTTTATTGATGGGCCATTGGAATCAAGCCAGTCATGGTGGCAACCAGGGTGGTTGCTCATCCTCTGTTTCGCCATCCTAGAAGGCTGGGCTGCGTCGTGTGTCAGCAACAGTGTGGTGTGCAGCTCCCCCCAACACCTGTCATGTTGCTGGGAGATTTCTTTCCCCACAATAGCGTATTATAAGGTACTTGGCAAGGAGGGCCCATAATATCATCATACATTTACAGCCCATTTGTCTGATTTATAAATCCAAATAGCCATTTAAAAATTCCAAATCAGGCTTTGTCAGGCAGCCGGACTCTTTTGTCATCTACAAATCAAACTGTTATGTTTAAAGCCATAAATACCAAATGACTTCTATGCACAGCCTCAAAGCAGGTGTTCCAGGCTCGCCAATATCAAATCACACAGTTGGGATATTTATAAGCAGTATAGGCTGAAAATGTGCCCACTGCTTTCTTCAGCAGAACTTAGCTTTTCAAATAACATTTCAGGTATATCTGCCGAACATAAACAAGATGTCAATGCAGGCGGTGTTGGATTATCTCTATACCAAGCAGTTGTCACCTAACTTGGACCTGGACCCACTGGAATTAATTGCCTTGGCAAACAGATTTTGCCTGCCACACTTGGTTGCACTTGCAGGTAAGGCTGATGACTCAGAGCCACGCAATGTCTCACTGTCATATTTATCAAAATCACATTTAAACAAAAAAAGAGATTTCCAGGGAATCGAAATTAGTTTTTTATTACCCAAAATAGGACTGTTTGTGCAGGGTGATATGAACTGATCAAACGTATCAGACGGGCCCAATTCAATTTAGTAAATATTTCTTAAGCCTCCATTTTGTGGTAGGCCTGTGGGGTGGTACAGATATAAAGATGAGAAATGCCTGGCCCCTGCCCTCAAAGTCCATGCTCTGTGCGCTCTGCCTCATTTGTGGACCATGGAATTTGAAAAAAACTATTGTATCTATCTTATCCCCGTAATGTTTACTGAGCCTTTAAGAAAGAGGCAGTAGGAGGCAGTGGTTAAGAACACATAGCCAGATTGCTCGAGTTCAAATCCTGGCTCTGCCATTTACTGGCTGGATGACGTCATAATTGAATTAACTGCTCTGTGTCCCAGCTTCCACTCTATTTTATTTATTTATTTTGAGGAAGATTAGCCCTGAGCTAACATCTGCCACCAATCCTCCTCTTTTTGCTGAGGAAGACTGGCCTTGAGCTAACATCCGTGCCCATCTTCCTCTACTTTATATGTGGACGCCTGCCACAGCATGGCTTGACAAGCAGTGCATAGGTCCGCACCTGGGATCTGAACCGGTGAACCTCAGGCCTCCGGGCCAGCCCCCTCTCTCTTTAAAATCAGGATAATATTATTCTACCATAGAGACGTTATGAAGATTAAATTAGTTAAGATATATAAAGTCCTTAGAACAGTGTCTGGCACTTAGTAAGCATTATGTAAGTGGTTTTCTTAAAGCTATTTTAGAAAATGTTCTGACACTGTCAAGATCATTTTGAGGGAAAGAAAAAAAAGAGACTTGGCTTAACTTCACAAAATCTTATGTATCATTCTAGATTTGTTCAGTTGGTAGGCCGAAGCAGGTCTAAATAGGATATGCACATTCAGATACCTTTTTCTTAAATTTAAACCTTTAGCTCCATTCTCCAGAGATGTTAGTTAGTAATCTGGGTGTTTCTCCCTATGTTTAGTCAACTCCTATTAACCGTGAAAGTAGAGATAGTGCTGTTTTGTTCACTGGCCGATCCCCTGCATGCAGAAAAGTGCCTGAGCGTGTTAGGTTCTCAGTAAATATTTGTTGAGTCATTAAATGAATGTATGAACAAATCAACCAGTCAAATCCACGCTTGACTTTCTGGCAATGTCTTTAGAAAAAAGATTTATTTCTCTATCCTCCTGGTTTCTGCTGTGCTCACCCACCTGGAGAGCAAAGTGCTCCTCTTGCCTTACTTCTCCCTGAGTTAGATAGAAAGAGATAGTTGAAGCATTGCTATTCAGTTGTTTAAAAAACTACTTTTAACCAATACACCTGAAGTCATAGATCCAAATGAGTGTACTGCTTTTTCAATACTAACTCTAGGAGGCTGCAGTAGTTCCCCTTTTCAGAAGTATGAGTTCCAGTCCAATCGACCATCCACACTTATCCCAGGTATTTGTCCTTCAAGGATAAATTTGATTTTTTTGGAAGTAGTCAACAGTAATTTGGAGCCAAACCTGTTGAACAAGGTTTGTGATCAATGTCGAAGTACTACCGTTTTTGCTTAAATATTAAATATGGTGATGAAAACATGGGACTGATTTCTCCATGAAAGAAACTGACCCAAAGAAAACTTCTTGTGTGAACTATAGATTTCTGTGTGTGTTTACTTTTGTCATTAAATGCTGTTATTACTGTTATGATTATTTAATATACACCTCCCTAAGATGATTCCTTTAATCATTTATAGTGTTTAGAGTATACTATTTAGTGTAAGGATAGAATGTTTAGAACATAGTGTTTAAAAATCAGTTTCTGGAGTGAAAATGCTTTGCAATCCAGACGGTTAAGTAAATATCAAGAAATGTTGCAGTTAAAAACCCCATATGACTTCTCAGGGAAATTTAGTTCCAAATAGTTCTTTGTTTGTCAATCCAGCTGAGGAAGGTTGTGCCAAAGAAACCATTCAAATCTGGATACCATATTAACCAGAGAGGGACATATTGCCTGCCAAGTACGTAGAGCCAGAGCAGAAAGCAGGCAGGATTTGGACGCTCTAATGGATTAGAAGAACAGGTGCACTGCTAGAGATGAAAAAATAGTACATCCTTCAAGGAACTAGAAATGCAGGGCCTACACTGTACCCACACATGTCAATTCTAGAGGCAAGTGACAGCCCAGATGCAGGCAAGAGACAGCTCAGTCTAAGAACCACAATTTAAATTCAGCTTAGAAGCCTCGGACACAGCTCCTGCACAGAAACGCCTCTCCCAACTGGATTTTTGTTCCTTCTGGCTGAAGATCTCCTGGTCTGTAGAATCTAAGAAGTTGACTAGTGCGTCACCCTTCTGGAGCTGTTGAGGCAGACATGCGCGTTCACATTTTTAATTCCTCACATGGACACATTCTTCTGTTATTCAGTCTCTCTAGTGTCAGAGATTATTGAGAACTAGAGTGATGTGAGGAGGAAAACTGTCAAACAGGAAGACACTAGGGAGTCTAGAAGATGCTAGGAAAGTGCTAGACTGTCTGGAGCGGCACCGTCCAAGATAACTTTCCGCAGTGATGGGAACATTCTGCATCCGCATTGTCCAGTACGCATGTGATTACTAAGCACTTAAATGCGGCTAATGTGGCTGAGGACCTGAATTTTTAATTTTAGCTAATTTAAGTTTAAATAGTCTCATGTGGCTGGCAGTTACCATACTGGACAGTGAAGGCCTGGAGAGCTCGGGCTATTTCAGAAGGGCTGACGGGTATCCCCAGAGTCATCGGTGCAATGGCTGTGGCCAGAACTTCAGTACTGAAAGGCCACACGTCAGAATGGGCCCTGGATTTAATTCGGATGGCTGCCCAGAGCGGTGTCCCATACCTCCTCGCCTCTTAGGTGGTCCCAGATCAGACCTTCCAGGCAAGATGTCTGACTTGCAGGATACGGTTTAACTTTCTCCTGTTTCCTCTCTTCCTCAGAGCAGCACGCCGTTCAGGAGCTGACCAAGTCTGCAATGAATGGCGTGGGCATTGATGGGGAAGTACTCTCTTATTTGGAATTGGCCCAGGTTTGTAACAATGTGCTTTTCACCTTTTCAGTGTGTTCAACCAGTGTGTTTAATGCTGATAAAACATTCCACTGTTGCATCTGTCTAAATAAAGATGTCACCACTGAGTCACAGAGGCCCCCTGTGTACACTGGGAAGATCTGAGAGTTTGACATTTCGTGCACCATTCACCCTGCTGGGCTTCATTTGAAAAAACAAGGACCCCTCCCCCACGCCAGCCCCATTATCCCCCGAGGCACCAGCTTCCCAAGTGGGAGAACAACTTAGGGCACGATAGGGGAAGGTTTTGTTTCTTCTTTTCTGAATTCTCGGACAGGTATTGGCCCAATCAGACAGTTTCTAGAATTCCGTGAAGCCCCGTAACGCCCCAAATCTCACTGCAGCTCCCCAGGAGTTTTCTAAAATCAGTATTTGTTAATGTTGACACTGTGATTCCATAATCCCAGTACACAATTTGCACTCTTCTTCTAGAGAGAGTCTGAGATCTAGCTTCAGCTCTGTCACTGAATAACGTACTCAAGGCACAAAGCTAAATTCTGCCTCAGTTTCCTCATTTGTAAGAAATGGGGATGGTAATTCACACCCTATCAACCTTACAAATTATTTTGAGAATCAAGTGGGAGAGAATGTTCAGGAAAGAACACTGAAGAGTAGAAGCCCTCTCATAAGGCAAGGCTCATGCATGGGCTTATCTAGTCCCTGGCATAGACTTAGTGATAAAGAATTTACACTCTGAAGGAACTGAGAATAAATTCTTCAGTCTTTTCTTCAGCCTAACGGGTTTGGCTTTCTTTGTTCCCTCTCTTGGTTAGGGCGCTGGTTTACTAAGTCTTAGGCCAGGCAGTTTAAATCGATATTTCTCAATCAAGGGAGAGGAGGTGGTTCAGGGAGATGGGAGGCCTATGGCAGGTGTTACTCAGGCTGTTGGAAGCATGGCCAGAGGAAACGGCTCAGATTCAAAAGGAGAAAAGCTGGAGTAGGACTTTACAGCAATCTATTTGTTCTAATTTAACAGTCAACAAATATGTATTATTTTCTCCCCGCATGCCAGGCATCACCCTAGATAAGAAGACAGGTAGATACAAATGGTAGATTCTCCACCCTTGGGGCAATCAAAGGCCGGTGAGAGATAGAGACACTAGCATGAATTATTAAAATCCGATGTGGAAAACAACCTAATAGGGGTTACAATGAAAACTGAGAACAGGCACCATTTGCTTTTGGATCAGCAAGCCCCCGTCAAAATTGGTGAGATTTTGCAGTCTTTTGAAAGAGGCCTGGGGACAGTTTATGACTTGAGCTCTCTCCAGTAGGTGTTCCTCCTAGAGAAAAATGAAATGAGCCAGAGTTTCATTAGGGGCCAGTTCAGTTGAGGTAATGATTTGCAGTTGTGTCTGGTTTGCTGTGTGTCCCTGCCCTGTCCCCTCCCCCGACCCTGCCCACGCATACACCCTGCAAGGAAATAATATGATTACTGCTAAGCCCTGACGAGCCTTGGCAGGAAGAGTGTGGGATGGAGTCTCCCATACCTTAGTTCATTCATTAAACCCTAACCCAGTGCTGTGCTGGTAAGTATGTAACAGTCAGCTTGGGGGCAGGTGGGTCCCTGGTCTGTTGCATTTTCCAGTTTCCATGGTGTAAATACTCCCATCCAGCCAATTGTAACAACTTGATATCACAGAACTCAGAGTAGCGAAGAAATGCTCACAAGTGACCCTCTTGAGCAGGTACAAGCCAACTCTAGTACACGACTGCCCTAATCTTACTGTCAGAAAGAGATCTAATATCAAAAGAAGTTGAAAGCACCAGCTAAAATTGTCCATGATGTTGGGGTTGCGATTTTCAGTGAGTTAATTGAATTAGTTTCTGAGAACTTTGGCTTTTCTATTGGCCTTTGTTCATGGCAGAGATGTGGGCCCTAGAGGAAGCACGCTGTAGGTTCCAGAGTTTCACCTGATCAAAGAAACTTAAAGAGCAACAAACAACAGAATGGATGTCTGAGAAGGGCATGGACAGAGAGAGTGAGGGGTGGGGGAAATACTGCCAAATTTGGGGAGGGAATGGGGAGCTGACTCAATAGTTGAGCATCAGGTCTTTTTCGGTCACAGCTACCTCAGGGGCCACCTCCCTGAGCATCTGCTCAGAAAGGAGGTGTGGAGTGTTCGGATCCCTCCTGCCCTGCCCCACACCACCTGTTCTTATGTAACCAAAGGACAGGTATAGGACAGTCACACAGTCCGCAGTCTCCTCTTTCAGATCTTTGGCCCCAGCAAGCTGAGCTCTGACATGTGACACGGGATATTCTGTTGCTTAGGCTTCCTTAAACAGAAACAACATCGCTGCTTTCTGCTGTTGGCTGGTGTCTTCCAGAGGCCACGGTCACTAGAGGGCCAGGTGGTGGGGGAGGGTGGGAGGGCAAGACATACTTTAAACTTCTGATCTGATACAGGGAGTATTTTTGGTGCACCTATCACAGAGGGTCAAGGAGGGGTGTGCCACACGCTATACTTGGCTGGCATTGGAACCATGGCCAAAGTCAAAACACTGCCGTCAAAACAAGAGGTTTACTGAATTAGTATATGGGCCCTTTATTTGTTTAACCTTGACAATGGCTTCCTATTTCTTTGTAGCCCCACTTTAGAAAATAAAGTCTAATCCCTTTTTGGTCACTTCCTTGCAGTTTCACAATGCCCACCAGTTGGCCGCCTGGTGTTTGCACCACATCTGCACCAACTACAACAGTGTTTGTTCCAAGTTCCGCAAGGAAATCAAATCAAAATCTGCAGGTGAGACTGCGGGGTCCCCATTTGTCCAGAGCTCATCCCCTCTGACAGAAGTGTTACCCTCCGTGCCCTTGAGAAGGAACATGAGCGCAGGCAGTTCATGGAGAATTCCTTGTGACTTGCCTGGTGGTCGCATGTTCATGTGACATGACCTAAGGAATTGTAGGTGGGGAATTCTCTTTGGAGAACCTCATGCTTGGAGGATTTGGGTGGAGGGGGGTTCAGGCTGCCCTGCTGCAGAGCATGCAAGGTCGTTGGCTCAGCCTTGCCTGGGGAGGCATGCTTAGGAGCAAGCAAGCTTACACTCTGAAATCAAGTGGTCCTGGGTTCAGGTTCTCTGTGTCCAGCTGCATGACTTTAGGCAAGTATTCCATCTCTCAAAACTTTAGTGTCACAATCCGCAGACGGTCCTCATCATAGTCCCTGCACATCAGGTTGTTGAGTGGATGTATAAGATAATCATATACGCAAAGCTTTAAGCACAGAACTGAGCACACAGAAGCGATCAGTGACCAGCAAGTGTCATCCTCCACACTTTCCTTCCGCAGACAACCAGGAATACTTTGAGCGGCACCGCTGGCCCCCTGTGTGGTACCTGAAGGAAGAAGACCACTACCAGCGTGTGAAAAGGGAAAGAGAGAAGGAAGATATTGCACTAAATAAACATCACTCAAGAAGAAAGTGGTGCTTCTGGAATTCATCTCCAGCAGTTGCCTGAGGAGGAAAAACAAAAAAGATCGATCATCTGACCCACCACTTTTCAAAGCACTACTGTAAAATTAGTCTTCCTGTTAGAGATAAGCTGTAGTTCAGGTTTCAGGCACTGATCTTCCTCCACTGTCGTGCATTTATCTTTGTGGGGATCAAAGCACAAGCTCACCATCAACGAGCCTGGACAAGAAGGGAAGTTGACGCTCACTGCATTCCTTACACTTACGTGTGTATTTTTTGTTAGAAGGCTTAATAAACTCTAGCCTGTTTTTTCGTTTCTTTTTATACAAAGGAAAAAAAAAATTCAGCTTTCATGTTTCAAATTCCAAATTGGAAAATATTTTTATATGGTCTCTTGTATTTTGTTGAAATGAAAATACTATGTATTACTTTATTTTACAGGCCACAAATTAACCATGAAGTCGCCCTGTGCTTCTCTTTGCCCGTGACCACCAAGCATTATGACATAATTAGAGGGTTATCCTGTTGTTGTGAAGTAAAGGGTTGGAAGGAAATTCCCCGAAGTGCAAGCTAGAGAGGGTTTAATCTTTGTTCTGCCAAATAACATCGGTATAATTACCAAGTCAACTCCAAGAATGTGTATTTACGATATTTGCTGTGTAAGTGCTAGTAATTATATGGTTATATGTGCCATGTAAAATATAGTGATATCAAATCTTCTGTTGTTTAGAATATCTAGATTCAAGAGGATAATCTTTATAATCATTAGAAGGGCTTATTAAACCCCAGCATTATCCAGGGCAAACCCACTGGTGGACCTGAATACAAAAAATGCCGTTCGAGCATTAGCGTTTGGATTGCTGTGTTAGAGTTTATGTCTCAGTGTTCCTTGATCTTGCCATGCTTCTGCATGCAGGTTCTCCACGGACTTGAATCGAGATGGGCAAGGGAAAGGGTCCCCAGACTCTGTCCCGTTGTCTGCAGGCTTGTCACATCTCACCACCAGAAACAGGCTTCCTCAGGTCTCTCACCTGCGGCCAACTTCACTTTGTAAGACATGTATTTTTAACTCTTCCCAGGGAAAATTCACGTCGCTGCAGAAGTAGGCTAAGGCAGACACCCCCCCTTGCTGAAACTCAGCGGGGCCTGTGAAAGCACAAAGCTGGAGGCTGGGTCGTCTAGGGTCCCTGAATTCTCCCACGCAGACAGGAATCTCATTCCAAGAGTCTAAGAAATGGTGCTATTGTAAGTTACTTCTGACCTTTGTCCTTGAGTTTTCAGTGTTAAAATAGAAAGTACTGAGCAGGGGAGCTTTCGAGCGGCAGTCAATCATTGCTTCTCTGTAAATTAAAATGTTACAGCACTTGTATAGAGCATTTGAAGGCCATAGCTCCTTACCTGCCGTGAAATGTTGTGTGGCAGGCGCTGGGGCTTTTCCTATTGAGAGGTCAACTTGCTGCTGCTAAAGGCTGTTGGGTTTTTTTTCTAGCTTTCAGAAGTTGGAAAAGTGACAGTTGAGTGCAAACCCCAGTGTTGACAGCCATATGCATTTGAAAATCTATCCAGATTACAGATGGGCATTTATTACTGACAGTGGATACATACCAGATATGAGTTAGGAGAGGCCCCTATAGGTATCACCCTCTCGTGCAAAGGAAGAGTAGGGATAGATGATTATGAATGCATCTATGTTAATTTTTGGTCAATGAGGTTGTAAATCATTAATGGAAGGAGAAAAGAGACAGAATGAGAGGGTAAATGTCAAGACTCAGGAAGAATCGGCGTATATCCCATCATGAAATGGTAGAAGTTGAGTTTTCAGTGAGTAGTCAGGGTTGAATTTACACAACCAAAGCTCCCATTTGATTGTAATCTTTGCCAAACGTAATGGACATATAAATTAACCTGGGGTATAAGCAATAATATCCACTAGTGTTTGTTATCAGCTACTGTAACCAAGTGGCTGGCTCATTTGGTTGATGCTGATTATGGCCTTTAACCATGGTGGTTTGTTTTGTGTTTTTTATTTCACAGAAAGCCAATAAAATTGTTTAGCTATAAAATGCCTTGAGTTTTTTTTTTTTTAAGGACTACCATCATATCGTGTGTGATTTTAATAGCTTTTTAAAAAACTATCAAAACTTTAAAGATGCCAGGTCATGGGGGCTTGTGTATGCTCCAGTAACAAGGCAGCTTGAATGACTGTCATCTTTGTTTTCAGTATTGCCAGCAGAGATTCCAGCGCCATGATGTAAATGAGGAGTCTGGCTCTCTGCTCTTAGCTAATACGGTTGTGTCACTAGACATGGTACAGCCTTGGAAATAACAGAAATGATCTCTCTATCCTAATGGACCTATTGTAATCTGGGTTTGGGCAATTTTGTGAAATTAAGTGGGAGGTTATATTGGTGGGCTCGTGAAGATAAGTCTTTTCTTCAGAAGCAGATCTGAGAAAGTCTTTGGGAAAATCTGTAAACAGTTTCTGGACTTCCAAGCTCAGAGGGACGGAGGCTCTCCAATGAGATCTCACAGGGGGACTTTTCTGAGTGGCAAATTCCCTGTAACTCCATGGATAGAAGTTGACAAATAGAAAAAATAACTACAGAAAGAAGACAGATTTTCAACACATTCCCACACCAGTTAAATGGGTGATCCAGATCATGGCATCTTTTACATGATGCATGCCAGGGGAGTCTTACCTATAGGAAGTCTTGGTCTAAGTTTCTCCTAGGGCAGTGCCTGGCAAATCATCAAGGATTTCAACAACCCAAATTGGCATTGTAGGAACCACAAATCCCACTGGTTTGCAGGTAACTCAAGTATTTTCATTATGGACATTCAAAAGTAAGACTGCAAAGTTCGTAAGATTATTTTTCACACCTGCTCCCATTGTATGGTATACCAGCTGTCAAAATTCAGTTTTGCATCACTGTGACATTGGCTAAGTAGAATGAATTCTACTAATCAGAGGAAAAAACAAAATGAATCCTGAATTTGGAAACTTATGAGTGCAGCGTTTCTGAAGTGAATGCTCTTCTACAAACTGAAGATTTACCAGGTTTTGTCTTGAATTGGGTATGTGTTTTGTGTGTATATAGTATAATTTGTATTATTTATATATATCATAAATATATAATGACTAACTATATAGTGACTATTGCATAAAAGATGCAGCGTTAAAAGCTAGCCAGAGAGAATGTGTTTGTGTTGTGTGTGCATGTGCATGTGTGTCAAGCAGCAGCCTATCGAAGCAAAAAAAAAAAAAAATGCTAAGGGTAATTAAGAAAGAAAAGAGAAAAAGAAGGAGAAGGGCCACAGCCCAAAGCCAGGGAAGTTGAATTAAGCACTCTGAGCCACAGATGTACTCTTTTTCTCCCAAAATGTGAATTTATGCCATTACTTCATATCTCATGACTTAATTGATTTTCAGATGAAGACTTTGCTCTCTAGAATTTCCAGTTAGGTGGCAGGTGATACATGCAACATGAAAAAAAGGCACTGCTGTGGCAACACTGGTGACCGCCTGTAAAAGCAGTGCTTCTGGAGAAGCAATGCTGTTCCCTTTGCCTTCATTTGAAAATCCCACCCTGTGTTGATGGTGCCTCTAAACTGGGTATTTTTACTTAGGCCATTTAGATGCATGTTTTTCCGCTGGGTTCATGTGCAGGTGCCTCATCAGCTAGATATTTACAGACTATAGTCTACAAAATATGGAAATAATTTAGGAGCAGATAACTCTCGGGTGGAAACCTATCAATCATACAGTTGCACATCCATACACATGGAAGTGCTAGAAACAGCAGTAGGGGACATGAAGTGGCTTGCCAGCGATCACTCCTGTTGCTCATCACTTCTCTAGGAAGAAACTATCTTAGTGACATGGATTTCCAGGAGAATGTAGATGAAATGAGTGATACCCAAATGTGGCCCCATAGAAGGAGTATTTCAATTCTTTGAGTCTGAATACACGCTCAATCACAAAGACAAGAATGGTTAGATTTTGCAGGCAATCAATGAGGAAAGAACTTGATTCATTTCTCTCTGCTTGGATGCCAACCAAAGTTTGGGATTTTTTTAATTCCCTCCCAGTATGATAAAAGAAACATCCTTTTGATTTGATGATTCATGGTAGTCCCAAATGGAGTGATAATACCCACAGAATGTTAAGATTAACTGCTATGTGAAAAGATACACAATCTCTCTAAGCTTTAGTCATCTAAAACGTGTGAGCGGATTTCACTGAATTTTGGTGCAGATTAAATGAGATGATTTAGGTAAAGCACTTGGCACAGCGCCTGGCATGTAGTAAGCACTCAGTAAATGAACCTGCATACTAAGCATGTTGACTACCAAGATGTGAAATCCAAGAGAGAGGACAACACTGTTTATTACAAGATAGAACATGGTCCTTTCCCGCATTCTCTTAAACCGAGCACCTACCTTGCTACTTAGTGCTTCGCGGCAGTGATTAAAGAATTAGGAAATAGAAGCTGTGGAAAAGTAAAAGAAAAAGAATAGGCTGGAGAGAAAAGGCAGGGGGTGAGAGGATGGAAAAGAGTATGGCACTTTCCAAGAGGACTTTCCCCCTCCCTGGGCCTCCATTCTCTGTGGAATGCGCTGGACCACCCCGAGGCCAAGCTTGGCTGAGCTTCTGATTCACTTGAAGCACCTTCTTTTTTATTGCTTCTAGTCATCTTTTTTTCTTATTTTTCTTGAAGATTGGATGCAAAGAGTCTAGTTAACCAGAATCTTCAATGCTCCTCCGTACTTAGCTTTGTCATCTTCAGTCAGTACAATGCTTTCTCTTTTTTCATTTTTTCTTTCTTCCATAATATCCACTCCCATAACATTTTCAATATATGTCTTTAAATGTGTGGATATCCTTATATACAGTGTTGTTTCATGTGTGTGATTGTTACACAAATGATGTTACATCTGCTTTTCAGACTCCATGCTGTTTTGAAAATCTAGCCATGAAACAATAGAGCATCCAGTCCTTTGATTCGTGTGGCTGCACAGTGTTCTGTATATAGCATCCACCACATTTCACTCTCCCATTCCACTGGCACTAGAACCATGAGGCAATTCCCACTCCCAGGCACTACAGTGAAACTCCTTGTACATGCCCTGGGATCAGGATCTAAAAACAGATGCCGGGTCCGGCTCAAGACACAGAATCAAAGCCTCCTGAGCTGAAGGACATGTGTGGGAACACTGGACTCGGTGATGAAAATCCTTCCTTGCTCCCAGCACTAAGTTAACATGATTCTACAGAATTCAAGAGTCACAAAGAATATGAAAGGCTCCAGCCCAGCCCAAAGACTGGCTGTCCCCTGACAGAGAAACGAGGCTTAACTCCCTGCCACCTGAGAAGCTGAAAGAGGCTTTCCTGATGGTGAACATTGTCAGATATTGGAATAAGTTAGTCCATCCCATCTGGCCTTGGCATTTTGCATCATCTGACCCTCATGAAAGGTGAGAGGACAAGATGACCTCTCAAAACCCCCTTAAATATTAAGATTTATGATTTTCTGCCTTCAAAAAATCCCTAGTTGGGCCAGCCCTGTGGCCTAGTGCCTAAGTTTGGCACACTCTGCTTCGGCAGCCTGGGTTCGGTTCCCCGGCATGGACCTACACCACTCATACACGACTCGGGCCACGCTGTGGCAGTGCCCCACGTACAAAATAGAGGGAGATTGGCTCAGATGTTAGCTCAAGGAGAATCTTCCTCGGCAAAAAAAGAAAGAAAGAAAAATCCCCAGTGAGCTTGTACACATGCCTTAAAGGTCTCCTTCTAATTTTATTACTTCACATGTGAAGTCTAAAGGAAAAGTAACAAATTCTATAGATTGTTTAAACTGTCTCAGAGCTTTTCAGATTCTTTATGACTCTTGAATTCTGTAGAATCATACCAATGTGAATATAAAACTTCCCTTTCTCCTGGTTTCCCACTCTGGGTGATAAACATCAGAACAATACCGTCTAATTCATTAGATGGAGGGTGCTCAGGTCACTGTGATTTCCCTCCTGGCCCCACCCCACTGAGATGCATTGGATCTCATTGCCACCACCAACAACATAGCCTTTCACTTTACATATAGAGAGATTTCTTTAAAAATAAGTAGTCGCAGTAAATGGCCAAACATCTAAAATTTCCAACTTTTAGAGAAATGGGCTTACCAATCTTTTAAAAATAATATTAATAAGGCGTACTCTCTCCCCAGCAAGTTCTGTACTGCTGGCTCCCCTTGTTCTCGTTTTGCTTACATTTGCACAGATAACCAGGGTGGTGCGGCCTTGGTATGTGAAGATGCACTGTCACATGCTCTTTCAGTCTTATTCAAGTGTTTCTTCACCAGATTGACATCCAAAGTCTTGGCACCAATCTTCCAGAGTCAAAAAAACTGACGTGAGAACCTTGATAATAATATTTAACATTTTTGAGTATACATTGTGGCCAAACACTATGATAAAAGCTTTATATGCATTTACCTCACTCAGTTCTCATGACCTTACTTTATGGGGAAGGTAATGGGTTGTGCAGAAGCAGACCTGCAGATGAAGACTCACGGCCAGTGATTCATTTAGAAAGTGCCCTTAGTTGAGACCACCAGGGGAAGGGGAAGGAAGCAGGAAGGTGAGAAGCCAAGCGGGAGCACGGTCAGACAGTCCCACTCTCAGCCTGGTCCCAGGCAGGCTCCGGAGTATAAACGACACCTCAGAGTTAGTTTCACATTCCTGCACCAGTGGTCAAAGGCGAAGTGTTCCTGGCAGGGGAGATGTAGGGATAAGTGTACGCTCCGGGCATTTTAGGCTCTCTGGCTTTGGTGAGTTGGGAGAAGTGGCTCCAGTAGCAGGCAGGAAATCCTCCAAGGCGAGTCCCAGGCGTGGGCTGTTAAAGGTAAGTAGAAGAATATAGAAGTAAAGAGGACCCCAAGGCATCCGGGAGGAGCACAGATTGATCTGCCCACTAACCTCTATTTTGAAATTCTGAAAAACAGCCTGGACTATTTGATGGGGCACACTGGCGGAAGTTTTGTGCGCTGATGAGTAAATATGGATG